AAGATCATAACTCCAGAAATACTTTCCCACGATATTTTTAAATCACCTTAATTCAAACTGGAAGGTACAAAGCAGCCTGATAATTTGAAATCAGTATCAAGAATTTCTTGAGGCAAAATCCAAACTCTTTCCCACAAGCAGAAAACCAGTAACAGATGGTACATGATAATTTCTCAGTGAGAAACTGTAATTCTAACAAAGTACAGATAACTTTGATTTTTATCAAGGTTGTTCATCACCTTTTGGTCTAAATGAAAACAAACTCTTGGTTCTCCCCCAAACATCCTAAACTCTGCATTATCACTGAGGTCAGTGATACTCAAAGCAAGATGCCTACTTTCAGTGATCTGTCCTCTCCTGGTTCATTAACCACAGGTAAATTACATACAGAGGGGAAATATATATTACAGGCAGGTTTTATCAATGAAATGGACTACAAATGATAACCAAATTACTAAAAGAGCGGCTTGCACTACTTGGCAGAGGAACATGCCAGAGAAAGATTCACCTTATAAAAGAACCCAGTCATACTGGATGAATTAGGAGAAAGATGCCACTCCAATCAACCTACCCTATACTCTGTAACTGGATTTACCCTTCTGCTTTAATTCAAGCCCAAACCACGTCTATTTTATTTCTCTGCCCCTCTCTGCTTTATTTTCCGTTGTTTCCTGCTCCCCTCATTCCACGAATGTCCTTCTACCTCTTATTTTCAAATCCCACTTTGTCTCCAAATCCTAGGGACTTCGGACACCCACGCAGATGACCTTAACGCATCCGCGCACAATTCCCAATTCACTGTACTTCTCATACCAAATGATCCATTCTTTCATTCCTTTCGATCTCTCGTTGTTTCTTAAAATCCAGTACCCTACACACGCTCACACCAGAGTTCCCCCTCACTCCATTGTTTCCCGGCCTATGCCTCAGGAAATCCCCCAACTCGGACCCGTGTGCTTCGGGCTGCCCCACTGACCCCAGAAACCTTTCACCATCTGGCACTCCAAGTCCCAAAGGGCTCAAGTCCCCCTCCCCCTCGGTACCCCAACCCCCAACAACTGCCCCCTCCCCCTGTGCCCTCTCTCAGTCCCGCTCTCTGCACCTCAGTGATCCCCCTTCACCCCCTACAAACCCCTCCACTCAGCACCCTCAGCCTCACCTACCCCAGGCCCCCGCAGTCGCCGCGTCCCCCTAGTTCCGGCTCGGCGTCCGGGACGCTCCGGGGTCTGAGAAGAGGAAAGGAGC